AGAAAATAAGCAAATTCCAGGGATGGCCTTCAGGGATATTAAATACAGAGAAAGAAGTGGTTGAGATTGGAGCAAGAGCAGTCTCTACTAATTTTAGGAGAAATTGGGCAGAAGATAAAAAGGGCTTGAAATCAAAACCAAGATGATAGATACACTTGAGACTGAATAAAGTCACAGAAAGCAAAAATTGAGTGGCATCACTTCTTTACGTTTTAATAAAAAGTATCCAAACAGCCTTCATATTTCACTAATTCTGATCTAGTTAGAGTTATTTAAATACTTTGTGCAGTGTGAACAAATACACAAGGTTAGATTTGCAATGCAATGAAAAGTGCTTTTATATATATATATATATATATATATATATAGGTCCAGTTGAGTGAAGGTTAAGTCAATAAAGTTGCTACATTACAAATAACCCTATTATATATTTTATGAGAATAAATAAAAAAATCAATGATGCATAAATTCTGATTTTAGGAGTACAACATTTTTGCTCAGTCGCTCAGTAAACAAGGTCATTTTCTCCGAGGGGATGCCAAACGTTTGACTTTCAGCTCCTCAGTTTGACTTTCTGTTATCCAAGACGTTTTTTTGAACTGTTTACGTAACAATAAGATCTAGTTTACATAGCTGAATGAGCACTGGGACAGCAAAGAATATGATATCCAGGCAAAAACAATCTCACAAATAGGGATAGATTTTTATTAGATGTTGTTTCCTTCACTTTGCTCTCCTCCACATTTTCACAGATTTGATAAATGACTAAAAGACCTTCTAAAAACTTTTTTATGTCACTCTGGCTCATGTTCAGCTTCAGTGAATATGTGTGTGAAGGTATTTGAGACAAGTTAAATGAAAGTTTGAGCTCACTCTGCGTGCCACTGTGTGTAAAACATGTAGGCCAACAGTTTTCTCACCACCTCTGTTCATTAGCACATGCTCAGGTTGGTGAACTCCAAGGCACGATCTGATATCGTTGTGTTGGTGTTGTTCCCAGATCATCATACTAAATGTTGTTCCAGGAGCAACATTGCAAGTGACCAATCAGAATGTTGTGACGTCATACTTTTGCGACTTCGGGAAAAACCGGCATAAAACCAAAAACTGTACTTAAGCTGCGAGAAAACGCCTCTGTCCGCCGATCAACGGACCCTGACCCTGACACTGACCCTTTAATAAACGCTAAGCAGAATTGATATTGTCCTTGCAACATTGGAATTTCATAAATGCACAAATGGCTTGGCGTACAAAAGTATAACGTCACAACAATGTGATTGGTCACTTGCGATGTTGAACCTGGAACAACATTTTCAGGATGATCTGGGAACAACACCAACACGACGATATCAGATCATCCGAACTCCAAGAGAGCTTGCATATATTAAAAACTTAGCAACTAAGCAAAAAAATCGTGATTCTCATTTTATGCAAAATCGCGCAGCCCTAACTTCCGTTGTATTTTCTGAGTTTTTTCCTACTTCCGTTGCCTTTCGTGTGCTTTTGCAGGGTTTGTCTATTTGCTGGTTACGTTGCAACTCTCCGGCCCACCGTAGGATTATCTTAAAACGTTACATAAGATAAACTTTCAAGCGTCAGGTGTTGATGGACGGAATAATGACCCGACTTTCTTGCTCTTGCTACAGCTGAATTAAAAACAGCATGTAAAAGCTCTGAGAATGGCCCCAGCCTGCTCTGGTGAAGATAATTATGCACTCATGTCACCTGTATAACAATTTCACTGTGCTGTGTCAATTAGGCACAAGGCTGTCGGCGACCGGAGTGCTTCGCTTTCACCTGGAAAAAAGTACTTTTGACTATCCAGCATCAATTTGACACTCACTTATTTTATCCTTGTCTTCATTTTTTGTTGGCATTGTGCTGTTTTTAACTCATTTTTAAGTACAACAATTCGAGTTGTAGATAACTGATGCGTGGCTTGTGCATCATAGTTTGATTGATTGAACGAGATGGATAGAAATAGAGGGACAAAGAGGCGGAAAGGTAAACCTTGACCGTTAGCAGCCTGCATGAAACCCCTCCACCCATACCTGCCCCCACCACTACTGCTTATCCTCCTCTCTTCCGCCTCTACTGCAAAACTCTCCCCACTGCCTTTCAAATCACTTCAGTCAGTCAGAATAAAGGACTTTCACCAAAAAAAGACTGCCTTACTTTTATCACAAAGGCCAGTGAGACTTCTTTTTGGCGTTGGGGGGAGTGGAAGACATTTAAATAAAGTTAGAATGAGAGGAAAAGAGTAATTGCTATCCTTCATCCACAAGACCAGAGAGAAATTTTGTTGTTTCCCAGGAAAAAAATTGAGGATAAAAGCAAACTAGTCAACTAACTTGCTGCACCACTGCAGCGGCAATTCAGAGAAGGATAGAAACCAATCGAAGTAGTGCATGAAAATGACACGGAGGCTCCAAATGAAAAAGATTAAAGTGTACTCACCAGCTAAGCATCACTGGGGTGTAGGCACAGGGGGCTGTGAGGGCCGTCTGTCCTTTTCAAATTGATTCTGTTCGAAGGGGAAAGGAGACAGAGAAGGAAGGGGGAGGGGTGAGTGTTACTAGCTACTCGCCTCCATCTCATAAGCAGAGCGCAGAACCACAAAGAAGTGCTGGCGGTCTCGTAAACAAACCGCCAACTTTTCAATGAAGGAGAGAAGGCGGAGCGGGAACGGCTTTTTAAACCCCAACCTTAATGGGGGTTTGGGGGGCGGGGGGGCTGAAGGGAAAGAGGGACCTGCGAGAGGCCTTTGTAACAACTGATGGCCTAACCGGACAATAACAAACCACCAAGTTCAGTATAGTTCAAGCACATAAAGCCCTAAACCTGACTTGACTCGCACAAACAACACAACCAATGTGCGGCTCAACTGTAAACGAACACGCAGATGTAAATGCGGCACACAGATGCCTAAACTGTGTCGAACCAAACGCAGATGCTAATATACAGAGAGCACATTTGGCTCCAAGCTTTTTGATCTCGGTGCCACAGAGCAAATTGGAACAAATAGCCCTGGTTTGGTTTCTAAGGCAACCTGAAGGAGCAGCTCAGACTCGCGATCCCTCTTGTGTCGTCAGCTGCTGTGATATGGCTGCTGTTTCTTTCACTTCAACACAGAGGAGCAAAAATGAATCAAAGAGGAACGATAAAGTTCACTGATGATGATTTATTAACTGTACATCTTATAGGATGTTATTACATAAATGCAGAAATTAACTAAAAGGGCATTTAGGTTGGAACCAAAGAATAAAATGTTTGTTTTATAGTAACAATAAATATGAAGTGCATATCAAACTCTTAGTCAGCTAATTAAGCACCCAGTTCTTCGACCGCATTCTCCAGCTTGATGCTGAGACACTTAAGAGTGAGAAAGACAGGTAGAAAAATACAGTAAAGAGGATTTTCCATGGAGCTAAGCCGAGAATTTAGGGCTGAGCAGCAGGAAGTGTCCGCTCACACACACAGAAACTCCCCATAATCTCCACTGTCAGTGTGGGATCAGGCTTTATTCACTGCAACAAGTGAGGAGGAAGAATTCTCATAAACTGCTTAGTCTGTGACCTAAAGTCTTATTCACTTTCTCTCACACACACACTTCAATGTCCCGCATCTACACAAGAAAGTCGTGCAGACAGGGTCTGGGATTGCATGACCCTGCTCAGATTCAGTATGGCTTTATTGACCACAAGTGGCATGATCGTGATACTGGGCTCGGTGCAAATCAAGCAGCAAAGCTGAGATTTAAGCAAGACAGATAACAATAGGTAACATCAGGGCCAACGTTTGGCTCCAGACCTCTGTGTGAGCACCTTCATCTTAGCGTGGGACACTTCAGATTCACCAATCATGGTGCTCGTGAGGCGTTTCTGCAGATCAGGTGAAAAAAAAACAACAACAGAGAACCAGCAAGAGTTTTGTTGAGAGCAGAAATAAAGACGTCACTCTCAGTGAGAAAACATCAAGACTGAAAAATTGCAACAGTTTTTTTTTTCTTTTGTTCTGAAATGTTTCGACAGAACACACGGAGAGACGCGGAGAAACTCGTCACCAACTGAAATATCGCAAACATCACATTTTCTTATTATCACTGTTGGATTGAATGTACACTGAAATGCATGATGTATCTACCAGCAGCAATTCATGAAATGTATTATAATAAAAAATGAGTGCAGAAGCAGGACAGCGTGGTGGTTAGGGCTGCTGTCCAAAGTCCAAAGACATACAGTTAGTGGGGTAAGATTAACTGGTGCTTCTAAACTACCCATAGATGTAAATGATTGTGTATCGGTGTTAGCCCTACATCAGATTGGAAAAGCTCTCAGCCTATGGCAGCTTGGACCCTGAATTGGCTAAGCAGAGGAAAATGGATGGATGGACTCCTGAAAGTATTTTTAGTAATAAACTGCAAATTTTGGTATATATTCAATGCCAAATGAATACAGGGCCAGTACTGCTGATATTAATGCCGAGACTTTTCACCTATAAAGCTTATGCAGTGCAGAGAACAGTGTGATGATTTATGAGCTGAATCATCATTAATTTGTGCATTTTAATGACCACTAAATCACTGCGATTTTTTACTTTCCACAATAATGAGTTAACACAACAAAACACACCGTTTTTCATGCAGTTTGAAACTGTGTTTGTTGGAGACCTGGAAGGTAAATGTGCCTTCCTCTAAATCACTGTGGGTCAGATTGGTTGTTTAGATGTGCTATAGGCTATAAATCAAATTAAACCTGATAGTCGACACAAAAAGGTTCAGACATTTTTCATAGTGCATGTTTGAGCAAGAGTTTTTCATTTGCAAAAAGTTGTTTAACCCTTTAAGACCTACCATAGAACCAAGTCCGCCAGAGCTTATATTATATTTTTACATGCTGTAGAGCCATCTTTGGGAGCATTTCAAGTTGCTATACATCAATACAACCATTAAAGCCTAAAGTTTAATAATATGCATGCATTAAGTGCATAGTAATTACATAAATTGCAAAAAAGTGCAATAAACTACAAAAAAATTGAAAATC